ATAGCCATGTAAATAATCTTTAAGAGAAGCCCTTTACTGCCCATACACTGACTGGGCTGTCTGCACCAGCAGCAATGGCCTGTGGCTCAGCACTGGCCTAGGAGAAGGGAATCACATTCCTGATGCTGTTTTCCACAGGCCTCTGCATCACCAAGAACACTTCACTCACGCGCATCGGTGTTACATGAAGAATTTTCTGTGTGTGTATAGAGCAACAGCTAGAACAGGGCTCCAGTCTTAAGTACTCCCACAGAATCAATCAGGTTGGAAAAGCCCTCCAAGATCATCGAGTCCAACCTGTGACCATCACCACCTCGTCAACTACAGCAGAGCACTGAGTGCCACATCCAGTAGTTCCTTAAACACCTCCAGGAATGGTAACTCCACCACCTCCATGGGCAGCACATTCCACTGCTTGAGCACCCTTTCTGGGAAGAAATTCCTCCTGATGTCCAACCTGAGCCTCCCCTGGCACAGCTTGAGGCCATTTCCTCTTGTCCTGCCCCTTGTTCCCTGGGAGTAGCCCCTGACCCCACCTGGCTGCATCTCCTGGCAGGGAATTGTAGAGAGTAAGAAGGTTCTCTTGAGCCTCCTTTTCTCCAGGCTGAGCCCCAACAGCTCCCTCAGCCTCTCCTTGTGCTCCAGTCCCTTCCCCAGCTCAATTCCCTTCTCTGGACACCTAAATTCAGCCCCTCAATGTCTTTCTTGTCATGAAGGACCCAGAACTGCCTCCAGGACTGGAGGTGCCTCAGCAGTGCCAGCACAGGAGGACAGGCACTGCCCTGGTCCCGCTGGACATGCTGTGGTACAGGCTGGGCACCTCTGTGCACATCTGGGCACACATGGGCTCACGTTCAGCCACTGCCACCACCACCCCAGGGCCTTTCCCACCAGGACCTTCCCAGCCTGTAGTGCTCCATGGGGTTGGTGTGACCCAAAGGCAGGACCTGGCACTTGGCCCTGTTGAACCTCATACCGTTGGCCTCAGCCCATGGATCCCTCCTGTCCAGACTCCTCTGTAGACTCTTCCTGCCCTCTGGCAGATCAACACTCCCAGTCACCCACGAACTGACTGAGGTACATGGAAGTGTGTCAAGGTAACACAAACCACACACCAGGCAGGTCACAGCCTGGGATCAGTGAACTGGCACCAAACTGGCCGAGTCCTCTGTGCAGGCTTGTGTGCCACCCACTGTGACCAGAGGTGACACTGCAACCTTGATTTGCAAAGCTGTTATAAAACAAAAACATAATGCTACAATTTTTGGTTGGTTTTAGAAATCTGAGTTAGACAAAAAAATTAACAATGTTACATAACCATATAATTAGAGAATTATTATGAGAGGTCATTTACTAAAACGACCCATTCTGGCCAACAACATCCTGATTGCGTTCGGCACTCTCTGGATCAGCGAAAGGGCATGAAGAGTGCCTGATCTTGCAGTTTATCTATATATGAACTCATTTATGCTTTGATATAACTGTTCAAAGACCTGGAAGCTAAAGAATTCATCCTCAGTGGTGTGAGCCAGCTGGACAGTGCCATGGTAAAAATGCCAAACACAACCAGTTTTGCAAGCTCCCAATATTTACCATCCACCCCAGAGCACTCCATTCTCATGCAAGCATGTCACAATGAGAAAACAACATCTCTATAAGGGTAAAACAAACAGCATTCACAATTTCTGAAAGCATTCTTCCACTATTATTGCACTAGATTAGATTGCCTCATCAACAGGGCCAGAGGCCATTTACACTATTTTCTTTCTTTTTCTTTTTTTTTATGGAACAGATGAAAGGATTACAGAAAGTTTTCTGGGGCCAAATTTGGAGCTAATGATGGGAAAATTCTTCTGCTAATCCCCACTGCTAGCAGACTTGAGGCTGAAAACAATAATGTCTCCTGGTACCCTCCTTCTCCTTCGCTCATCAGGGCACAATGCTGTGCTCAGGAGGTTTGAGAAGGCTCATTGGCTTTCAGCAGAGCCACAAAATCTGCAGGACAGAGCTGTACTGAAAACCTGAGCACGCAATGACACGAGACTCCAAACTTGGACACGTCGCAATGAAATCCAAAGATGGGACTCATCTGCACAGCAGCCACCTCCACCTAGGCCCCGTCTCACTTTACCACCAGGGGAAATGGGCTTTTCCAGGATCCTGTGCCCTGTCTTGGGGTGGCTGTGCCAGCCAGGCTGGAGGGATCACACCCAGGCAATCCCTGCTGCCCATGGAGGGCCCTTGGAGAGATCAGCGGACAGAAAGGAGCTGCAGGGACGTGGGGCTGAGCAAGACTGGTGTCACCCAGAAGGAGAAGGACCAGTCCTTCCAGAGGGCACAGCAGCCACCCCAGCCCAGCCCACAGATGTCCTCTGCAAACAGCCAGCACTGCTCCTTGCCACTGCCTGTCAGCCCACCAGTGCAGGAAAACCAGATACCACCAAGGAACCTCCCTCCAAAGGCAAAGTTTAATCATTCTTTCAGTCATTTAGCAAACACAAAAGAATTCACATGTACCAACTCTACTCGAGAAGTAAACTTTGCATAATTAATCAGGATCCCTCAGTACTTGTGCATCTGCAAATGCACAGCTACACCAACTGGCACACAAGGGAAAATGCCTCTGGCCACCTCGGATTGCAGGGAAGTGCAGACATCTCCACTGAGCAGAACCCGAGCTGCCACGGAAGGGGAAAAGCAGAGCTGAGGAACAAGTTGGTTGGAAAGTGAGTAACCAACCCCCTAAAGTCTGATCCATTCATGGACATTATATCAGCTACTTCTGAATTAAGCCATATTTCATCGTACTGCCAGAACAAGCTAGAGGCACCTACCTAGGTGCAGAAGGTGGGAGCAGCCAAAGCAGGTCAGGGAAGTGGAAGCCAAGCTTCCCGCAAGAATGGGCAATTGGATGGAAAATTTGACTCAAAGAAAAAGAAATATTGAAGCAGCACTTAATGAGGATGAACTTCCCCTGCCTCCCCACAATACAGACGATGCCATTATCACTCAGCACTAGGAAGGAAAGAGATTTCAAGGAAGGGAAATTACAGGGCAGTTATCCTCATCAACCTGAGTGTGTAACTGTGACATGAGCTTGGCAGAGAGCCTGAGCAAAGTCTGCACATGGTTAAGCACAGGGCATGAAGTAAGATGTGCAAAGGGAAAGCAGCCCCTGGAAAATATTGCTAGGGAGTTCAGCTTTTCTAGTGTGCCAGTGGCAACAAAATGCCTGACCTTATCCCTCTGCATCCGCAATAAAAAGAGAAAGGGATTGCACAAAGTCAGAGAGTTCCACTTGCCTGGCAGTGGAGAAGCCAAGTGCTGAGCAATCTGTTCTGTGGCCGACAGGTTTTATGTTTGTGGTTCAAGGAGCAGATCTCAGGATCTGAGCAGCTTCCTCAGGACCTCAGGATGTGCCCCGCAGGCAGCACAGACAACCCTCACCATTTCTCACTCAGAGCACTTGGGAAACTCTCACAGAGTTGCCTGTAGCTCACAGAAGAGCTTACATGAAAACATAAGAATTTTGCTCTAGGCTCTGTAACACAAACAACACTGGCACTATTTGCACTGTTTGTAAAAGGGAGGCTTAAATGCATCCCCACTTCAGAGGTTTAAGGTCTCACTGCTCGACAAAGTCTGGCACTTCACGCGGAGACAGTACAACACAGTGCCCCCAGGGACCCAAACACAGGATTTGGGGAACCATTTCCTACCCCAACCGAGGGAAAGGGGACACAGATCACACATTATCCTGAGGAGAAACTGAGGTTTCACAGCGAACCAGTGAACATGCTCCTGCTTCCCACCTGCTTTCTATTTAGAGCAAAAAACCCAATTAATATGACTTTTTAAACAACGATCAGTAGAAGAAACCTATGAAATGAGATTCCTGATTGAAAATGTCTTTACTCACATGAGGCAGGATTAAAATATGACAAGACCACTAAGCATAGTCTCTCCCAGCTGCACAAACCATTCCTTCACAACCTTAAAATTAATAAACAAAGACACATTCTAGAGGTTTCCTATCCCTCCTGGATTTAGCCGTGCACGAGGCAAACAGGAGAAAGCCCTCCCCACACTTCGCTGCGTGTCAGAACGGAGCTCCCACGCAGCACTTCACGTTAGTGATGGTTGATTGGGACCCCCTCACTCTGAGCAGACACCCAGAGACCAGGGGAGTACTCTGGGCCCAGGAAGAAGCTGATTTAAGTGTATCATTTATTAGCAAGTGAAAGGACATTTCCCTTCTCGGTGGTTAAGCACAGCACAAGCCAAGGATAAGCATATGGGCGAAGCCTTTGTGCAAGGGAGAGCTGGCAGGGCTCCAGACCTAATTGAACTATTACCATACTGTAAGAAAGTCAGAGGACTGAGGATGTGCTCTCCCAGGGCCAGTTGGTGCCATGTGGACAATTAAGTGAGTAACAAAGCAGATTCATCAGGAGAGCAATCCCACCATTCGGACACCGGCTCACTTTAGAGAAACAGGCTCTCCTCTAGCTCAATATTGCACTTAATTTGATCCTACATTCGCTGCCATGAAACCTCCAGCTCCAAACCATTTGCAGCAAACAATACAATGCTTCTCC